CTTCAAGTTCAGTGGATTTGTTGTTGTGAAGCCCAGTGCAAAATTCCCTCTGGAATAAATAAGCCCCATCCCTGTCACCATGGCCACTGTGATCTGAAGTCCATTGGGCCATAAGAAAGGTGGCCAGGAGGAGAAGCTGATTATGTCTACATACAGGACATCACTATTCACTTGGTGTTAAAATCCTCCTTGTGCAGAGGTAACATTTCTGTATCTTCTGTACATTAAGAGATGTAGGCCCATGTTCTTTTTTTTTTGTTATCTTTATAATAATTGTTCTTTTAATCACGTATATCAAAATAAAATGAAATGCAGAACATTATAGAACTTATCAAAACAGAATATTTTTTTTGTCTTTTTTCTTTTTATCGGTACTGGGGATCGAACTCACGACTGGCTGCTTGCAAGCCAGGTGCTTATGCCGCTGAGCTAAACCTCCAGCCCCCAAAACAGAATATTGAATAGAGCAGTACCATTAATCAGAATAGAGCAAAACAGTAATAAAAATATTTGCCTTCAAAGAGATAGTAGAAGGAAATCCCTCTTATTTGCTATCATCAGCCTCCCAGGAGATGCTCAGATTTCTGGTTCCCATTTGCTAATGGGGAGGACAGGAGAAGGGGGTTAGGGGAAGTGGAATGTTTGATTCTAGGCTGTGCACCAATAGGTTCACTATTGCTTAGCAGGGAGGCAGGCTGGTTGCTTGGTTTCCCAGCTTCATAAGTTCCAACATGGTGTGGATCTCAGAAGAAACGTGGTTCTCCCCCTGGAAGGGCTGCAGTCTGGCACACCACCACAGCTTACCAGGGAGGGGGAGCTGCTTGCTTGGTTTCTTAGCATCCTAAGTTCCAACATGGCATGGATCTCAGGACCTGTGGTGGTTCTCCCCCTGGAAGAGCCACAGTCTGCCACACTGCCGCCGCTTATCAGGGAGTGGAGGTGCTTGCTTGGCTTCTCAGCATCCTTAGGCCCACATTCTTACCCAAATTTGTCATCTTTTTTACCCAATCATGCTCCTTAGAGATCCCTGACCATCCACACAAAGGACTGGCCACAGAGGATCCACTGAGCTATCCTCACACATCTAGCCATTTCTCCTTCCGAGAAAAGTACATATCCAGGGGGTGCAAGGCACAGAGTCCTCCCTGTGGAGAGATTTCCCTTCTCTGCTGTCCTTCAGGGACCTCCTGAAACTGGGCAGCAGTCTGCTTTTTCTTTTTCTTTTTCTTTTCTGTTTTTTGGTCTGAGACAGGGTCTCTATGCAGTTCAGGCTGGTCTTGAACTCATTTTGTAGCCCAGGCTTGTCTCGAACTCACAAGGATCCTCCTGTCTCAGCCTCCCGAGTGCTGGGATTACAGGCATGAGCCACCACGCCTGGCTAGTGGTCTACCTTTAGGCAGTGACTTCACATTGTGCAGAGCTGCTCACAAGCCACTCTTGACTGTCCTCTTCCTTAGCTCACAGAGGGCTCCCCACAAGGCCCCAGGTACAGGCCAGACTAGGAGGCAGTGGAGCAGGAGTGGGGACCACAGGCATTTGGGCCACCTTATAGAACTTGCTTGGGCCTCTTGGGCCTGCTCAGAGGTGGCTATGTACGCACTACTTCTATTGGCCAATGTCATGCACGCTCACCTGTGTGGTTCAGTGGTCAGACAACACCCAGCTCATGACAGGGGATCAGGTGCCTAACTCAGCACAGGCTATCCTCAGCATTTCCTAAGAACACCCAGGGCACCAGCAATACCCGTTCTTGGTGCTCTCGGTGCCAGCACCTCTTTTGGTCACTCAGTACGCAGCCAGGGTGCCACACAAGAATGAGAGATGTGTAGCCTTGAGGATAGAGAGATACCCACTAGGCACTGTGCTTCTGTTCACAGGTCAGGAAACCCACAGGGGGACTCTGCCGGGCAATGGCCTGTTCTGTTCCCATTTTACATTCTGGAGCTGGAGAAGTAGCCACAGAATGGGGCTGGAAACTCACTGGATTCATGATGAGACAGACCTGAGATTAACCTCCATTGACTGCTCGGCCTCCATTAGCTTGGGCTTTGACTGCATGACCACAATAACAGTCTAGGTTCCCTGAACTTAATGCCACCTCAGGGCCAGTGTCCACCAGTCCTCCCAGATTACGGTTACTTGTCTCCTGGTGCATTCTTACCCTAGTACAGGCCATAGGAACTTAAAGCAAGGCTAGGAGAAAGCATGAATAATCACTGGTGCTTTCTCACAAGGTCTCAGCCTGGCCTGGGCTGGGTGGGTGGGATCTGTCTCCCCTTCCTTCCAGGGGTCCACTCTGTACAGCAACTCTGTCTGGGAATTGACTGAGGAGCCACAGTTCTCTTTTTAGACTTTAGTTCACTTGAGACACAGCATTTATGCTAACACAGATCAAGTAAGAACTCACGAAGTCTGCTGTCCTTCTACTTTTAGCAACGCAGGGACCAACTTGCCAGTGCTGCAATCTTTCTGGAGTCGCGACGGTTCTGATTGCTCTCCTGACTCTGCTGTCCCCTAGGCCACTACACCTCCTTGTGCGCTCCTATTTGATCTTTGGTTGCTGTGGCGACACTGGGGCATTGCTGGGGGGACTTGCTCAGCTCACAACAGACAGCTACATGAATTCACCACCCCTAGAAGGGGAAATCCGTCGCCGACCACTAGAGGGCGAGAATGTTTCATGTTCCTTGATGAGCACCTGTGTACCAAACCTACAGTAACCAAATCCTCAATTCATGATGGCCATGGACTGAAGCAGAGCACAGCAAATTTCACAGGAGCGAATGGAAGCACATATAACACCGTGCACCACGAATACAATTGTCAACTTTGAAATTAATTAAAAATACTTTCCTTCGCCCTCCAAACAAAGACATTTACAAGTGTGTTACATGGCTATTTTTTAAAAAGTATGGATGGAAAAATTCTTAAAAATTCAAACACTCAGGCAGTTCTTTCTAAAATTATTGGTGTATACTAGTTTCACAGAATGGATTTAGTTTTGAAATATTGGTACATGCATGTAACATACTTTATTTTCATCTTTATGCCCCTCCCTCTCCTTTTCTCCTCCCTTTATCCTTTTGCTTTCTATTTTCTTTTCTTACCTTTAAATTTTAAAAATTCCATATATGAAAGAACATGTAATTTTTGAGTTCCTGAAACTGAATTGTATCTATTTCTAGTCACAGAATGACATGATTTACTCTGTATGGTTGAATAGTATTCTACTGTTATGACACATTACTTTATCCATTTATACACTGGTGTGTATCTAGCCTGTTTCCAGAGGTTCACTATTGAAAAATGTGCTACAGTAAACAAATTACAGTATTTTGCCTTTAATTCTTTAGGAGACATACTAGTAAATGGTAAAGTTGGAGAGAGTGATACCACTATTTCTTTTAATTTTTTGGTACTAGGGATCAAACTCACGTCCTTTGCTTACCAGGCAGGCGCTAAATTTAGGCTACTGAGCTAAATCCCTGGCCCAATACCACTCTTTTCAGTTTTTGGAGGAATAGCCATATTAGTTTCTACAGGGACTGTATTAGTTCGATTCTGACCAAAAGTGTCTAAAGGGAACTTTTCCTTTACATCTTTGCTAGCATTTATTGCTTTTTGTATTCCTAATGCTAGCCATTTGGACTGGGGTGAGATGGAAGCTCGATCAATGCAGGCTTGATTATCATTTCCCTAGTGGCTGAAAATTTTGAACATTGTTTTCATATTTTTATTAGCTCTTTGCAGTTTTTGAAAACTATATTCATTTGTGCATTTATTAAATGTATTACTTATTTCTTTGATTTTTTTTTAATTCTAGAGATTGATCCTAGTCAGAAGAGCAACTGGCACAGTCTCTTAGTTCTATTATTTCCTTTGTTGTGCAGAAGCTTCTAGGTCCAATACCAATTCAGTTGTTGATTCCTGCTATTATTTCTGTTATTGGAGTTAGGTTGAGGAAGTCTTTCCTGTGCTGTGAACTTAATTATTCTGTTTTCTTCTAGTAGTCTCAAAGTGTCAGGTTTTATACCCAGATCTTTGATCCATTATGATTTTGGAACAGAATGAGACATAAGGATGTAGCATCAATCGTATACCTATAGACATCCAGTTTTCCTTTGCATTATTTCATATACTCATTGGGTCTTTGTCTAGAATCAGGTAGTGCAGTTATGTGGGTTTCTGTCTTCTGTTATATTCCACTGGTCTGTATGTCTGTTTCAATGCCAGTATTGTGACATTTTTGTTACTGTAGCACTGCAGTGTATTTTGACATCAGGTAGTATGATGCTCCAGCACTACTCTTTTTGCTCCGGATTCCTTAGGCTATTTTGTGTCTTTTGCATTTCCATATGAATTTTCAGATTGTTTATTAGATTCTGTGAAGAATTTCACAGATATTCTGATAAGGGTGTAAGCAAAATTCTGCTCATTTATGAACAAGGGAGGTCATTCCTTCTTCTAATGTGTTTTTCCTCAGAGGCCTGTCATTTTCATGTAGAAGACTTTCATTTCATTTGCTAGGCTTATTCCCAGGTGTTTGTTTTTAAGCTATTGCAAATTGAATTGCTTTCCTGATTTTCTTTCTCAAAGAGTTAATTACTGGTGTGTTAGGAAAATCTATAGATTTCTGCATGTTGATTTTGTATTTTGCCCCTCTGTCAAATTTGTGTATTAAAGTCTTTTTTTTTGTCTTTTTCGTTTTTTATCGGTACCAGGGATTGAACTCACGACTGCCTGCTTGCAAGGCAGGCGCTTATGCCACTGAGCTAAATCCCCAGCTGAGTTTTTAGTCTAAGTAAAAGATCATGGTATCTGTTAATAAGGATGATATGACTTCATCCTTTTTTCAGGGATACTGAATGTTTTTCAAAGACTTATCTGCATCTCTCAATATGTGATCTTCTTTCTACTTATGAGGTGTATTACATTTAATGAATTATATATGTTGAACCATCCTTTCATGCCTAGAATAAAAATAACTTGGTTATGTTGCATGTTTTGAATTCTGCAAGATTTTTATTTAAAGAGAAACAAAAATACATTAAGAAAAAAAGCGTAGAAGTGATACAGAATTACAGAAAAATAAATGGTAAGAAATCACCAGTTGATAAGTTACATATTGTCATCTTAGAAATAGTTGCTCAGGTTACAAAACTAAAGTATGTAAAGTGACATTCAAATAGTGACACTGCCAACAGTTCTACTCAATGATCTAACAAAAACTCAGTAATATGGACCCATTTCAGTAATATGGTTATCAGTCCTAACACTTAAGTTTTTTATCTTAAAGAGGGTAAGATTAAACATACCAAAACAGAACAAAACAGTTCAAAAAGAAACAATTTAAAGAAATATAAATTTCAAAGCAAGTTCACTGGAGATCTTCACTGTTTATCTAATTTTCTCTAGTTTCTTCCAAGTAGTTGTCCCCATCTTCACACACATTAAATACATACTGCATATTATAGAACTAATAAAATCATTACAGGATGATGAACGCTTTTTAGGTCTTCAAGATCTGCCATTAGGGAAGACAATAATAACTACCATAGTGTCCCTCATTCTCTTCAAAGTAGCTGTCCTTATCTTTACATATGTGGAAATTGAACATAAGGGACTAGACTAATATCACTCTGTATCATAATGCTACAGAATTAGCACTGGGTATCTTAGTGTCTCTTCAGAGTATCTCCTGTTTACATTGTGCATTACATAATCTGTTCCCATAAACTGTTTAGAAATTCTCCCCATGTGTGAATCTCTACGTATATATCTATTTTTTCTGTATTATAGGGAAAAACAGATCAAAACAAGAGAACAAAACAAATTCCTAGAAAAACATGAAATGAAAAAGACATATAAAACCACAATATTAGGTGATCTACATTAATTACTATGCTTTCTCTTATTTTCAATAGAATTGCCCACATCATCAGACATAATATAATTGAACAGCATGACATATCTATTTTAATAAAAACACAACTTTGGAGACATTGTAGGACTTCAAAAGCAGTAACAAGCCGGAATGGGTATCTCATTACAGCTTGTCATCTTCAGAGTAGTTGCCTCTACTTTTAGACTTGATACTATCAAGCGTAACAAATTTGAATAAAATTAGTCAAGGCAAACTTGTATATGAGATCCCTAAGATATCTCTTTATGTCCACTGATGCCATGTCTGATATTGCATTTTTTTTTCTTTCTTTCCTTTTTTCCAATACCAGGGATTGAACTCACGACTGCCTGCTTGCAAGGTGCTTATGCCACTGAGCTAAATCCCCAGCCCCTGATATTGCATGTTTGTTGTTCTCAAGCTGTATTTACCTCTCTTGGATCAATGTTCTCAGGGTTGGGGGCTGAGGAATTTTTCTTGTTGCTTCCTCTTCTCATATTTTTTGTTTCTTCCATACAGGCGTACAGAGGAGGTCCCAGTCCCTTTGCTTGTTGGCAACAGTGCTTCTGAAGCACACTGGCTGTGTGATCCTGCCCACTGCAGTGTGTTACTGAGGTACAAACAAGGGCAGCATATGCTGGCTCCTCCCCTCCAGGTTAGTCAACCTGCTGATGCCTTCACTGAATTAGCACGCACTGCGTGTAGGGAATTGGTTTGGGACAACTTACTGGGTCTCAGCTAGGGGCATGATCCAGGCCAAGCATACCCCCTAATCTCGTCTGGGAACAACTGACTTAAGTCACTGGCGTTCCTTTTTCTTGCCAGTTCTTCCCAATTCCAAAATGTCATTTTATTGGTGCCCCTTTCCTCTGGAAGGGTTTTCTTTCTGGCACTCACCACAGGTCGATGCAGGTCCCTTGCTGACTCCATTCTCCATTGGGCTCACCAACCTCCAAATTCAGTGCAACTGCACTACAGTGTGACTATGGTTCCAGTGAGTTGAAGTGGCAGGAATTCAGGCACGGGACAGCACAGAATCTTAGCTGCCTCAATAGTAGTCTGGGACTGCATGTCTGACTGGTTTTCGATTTAGTTTCTTTCTGAGTTGAGAGGACCCATTTCCCTCTGTTTAGGACTCCCCATGCTCTTATTTCAGCATCTGAGTTGTCTTGTCTCAGGGAGCTTTTGTATTCTGCTCTTATCTGACATCTTTACGTGAAGCCCCCAAAACATGTACTCTTAAGATGAAATTAACTGAAGATATTTTGATCTCTTTTCTGTTGGTTTCTCACTACAGGGTTCTTTAGTTTGGAAGACATCAAAATGACTACAGGCATCTCCACTATGGAATGTCATGTTCCTATGCAAAATCATGTGAAATACAGGCTTCTCAATTATAATCCATATTTAAAATTTCAATATAACTTTGTTTTTTCAAATTATGCAGATCACAAAATGCTTTGTCTCATTACTTAGCCACAAAAGGTTTCTCTTCAATGTGTTATTTTATGTATTTCATGATAACTAAATTTGAAGCATTTCTAATTTTGCTTATATACATATGGCTTCTCTCCCATGTGAATTTTTTCATGTTTTTGAATGTTTTGGATAAAATGAAACATCTCTCACGTCTTAGTTATGTTCAGATTCTGTTCACTATCACTGCATTCATGTAATATTTGTACTCTGAAATTACCTGTAGTGCTTTCATAGGGTTTCTCTTCATTGAAATTCCTTTCATGGCAGTGTAATCTGTATTTTATATTGATAGTTACTTGCCACTGTGACATTTTTGTTACTGATGGATACTGTTTGAAGATTTTTCCACATTGTTTACATATATAAGGTTTCCTCCTTCATGTGCTTCTTTTATGTATCTGACAATACCTGTGTGTACTGAATTCTTTCCCACTATTTTATATACACAGGTTCTCTTTAGTGTGTTTTTTTATGTTTATAAAATGAGCCATTAGTAGCAAAAAGTTTTCCACAGTGCTTACATTCATAGGGTTTCTCTCCAGTGTGAGTTTTTCTATGTTTACAAAATGCAGTGTTGTCAGAAAAGGCTTTCCCACATTGCTTACAGACATAGGGTTTCTCTCCAGTGTGAATTCTTTCATGCGTACGAAGTGTGCTGCTGGAATTGAAGGCTTTTTTACATTGATTACATACATATGGTCTCTCTCCAGTGTGAGTTCTTTTATGTCTACAAAATGCAGTGGTGTCAATGAAGGCCTTTCCACATTGCTCACATACATAGGGTTTCACTCCAGTATGTATTCTCTCATGTCTGTGACAATTTTGATGGGTACTAAATGCTTTCCCACATTGCTTACATGCATAGGGTTTCTCCCCAGTGTGAACTCTTTCGTGTATCCGACAAGACTTGTGTGTACGAAATGTTTTCCCACAATGCTTACATACATATTGTTTGTCTACATGGTGACTTCTTTCATGTTTAAGAAAAAATTTCTTGTTAGTAAAGGATTTCCCACATTGTTTACACACATAGGGTTTCTCTCTATGGTGACTTCTCGCATGTATTTGAAAAGACTTACCATGAGGAAAAGTTTTTCCACATTCATTACATATATAGAGATTCACTTTACCATGATTATTTTCATGGATCTGAACAGAATTCGGTGTACTGAAGCCTTTAACGCCTTGCTTATGCACAAAGAGCTCTACTCCAGAATGAGATCTTTCAAGAGGATCCCAGTAGGCTTTCCCACATTGCTTACTTTCATAGGAAGTTTTTCCAGAATTTGTCCTTGCATGTTTCAAAAAAGACTGATATTCACTGGTGTTTCTATCTTCATTACCTTCACAGAGATTCTCTTCAAATCCCTCATGCTCGTATCTATAAGCATGGCTTTCAGCTTGATTTAAATGAGTTTGTTTCACATTCATCTTAGAATGTGGAGGCTCAAGGAACATTTCTTCATGTTGACTCCAACCTTCGTACTGACAGAATTTCTGTACATTTTTCCTTCTTAGATTTCTCCTAGAATTTCTGTACTGTTCTTCAGTTTGCTGGTTTTCAGAGCTTCTTCCTACATCAGCTATGATCCTAAATGTTTCCCTCATCACATCTCTGTAGAGTTTCTTTTGGGAAGAATCCAGCAAAGCCCACTCCTCCATGGTGAAGCTCACAGCCACGTCTTTAAAGGCCACTGGTTCCATCACCATCTTGTGACTTGAGGGTTTCCCAGAATTCTTCCCACACAGCCCACAGGTGGTAGAAGTCACAGAGAAAGGTGTCCAGTTGGGGTGGATGTCAGCAGTGCAGTGAGGATCTGAACAGAGCACATGTACTTTTACTGTATAATGGAGAAAATGGAATGGAAAGAAAAATCATAAGTTTTTGATTTTTTCGCTCACTTGTATGTTTCAAAATACTACCACAAACAACTCATTGATTCAGCAATAATGATTACTATAAGCAAAGAGCTGGTCTTGTAACAGTGGATATTACATGAAGAAAAAGAATGATTATCATCAATAAACCCAAAACTCCTGTCCTTAACAGAAAAAAAAAATACTCATGGGCCAATCACTTGGAAAATATTTACAGAAATGTCTTATGTTCATACAAAGTAATGCGCAGCAATAAACAAGCACATGTGAATACCACAATATGATGAACTTTGAAAACATTATGCATTTTAAAAAGCCAGGTGCAAAATGCCACCTATATGTGGATTCATTTATACGACATGTACAGGAAAACCTAATCTTCAGGGATGCAAAGATGAATATTTGAGAGAACAGATATTGACTGCTCTTACCAGTTATTGGTTACTAGAGAAAAAGATTTAATGCAAAATACACAAAAATTTACAAGATTGGCTTACAACAGCTGCCCACATAATCAGATGTAGAAGAGTACAAAAGGTCTGCCTGCCTGCTGGAAAGCCAAAGGATCCAGCTGAAGACCTGCAGTTCACTGCAGAATCTTGTGCAAATCCTTATCAGGAGGCTGAAGAGCCTGTGCTGAAAGGCAGATTATATCCAAGGTGAAAGTGAAGACAAGCTCCTCCAAAGAAACAGAGCCTTCCCTGATTCCCTTTAAATCATTCAGACAACAAGCTGCCTTAGGGTTGGTCTTCTATCTTCAGTAAATTCCTTCAGCTATACTCAGAAGTATATCCTGATTCAATTCAGCTGGGTTTTTTTTTTAATCACATTAACACAATGTGTTAACTATCACAACCCACTCCTTGTCATCTTGTCAACCAAACATATTTTTCTGAGGCAGTCTCTAGATACAAAGATAAGTTTATAATCATGCCTGACAAGTTATAAATATCCTGCATATAAAAAGAAACACAATGATTCTCTCCCAAGAGCTGAAGGGAAGTTTTCTTTGGGTGATGCTTATTCCTAACATCTCATAACTAGAGTATTATGATACAGGTTTAATAATAGATAAGAAGCAATACTGTCTGTAAACATTATATTATATGGGAAGCATATTAAGACAGAACACAAACATAATCCTTGTTTCTGTACTTGATCACAGATCACAGCATTATCTTTTTTTTTGTTTGTTTTTTTCGTTTTTTTTATTGGTACTGGGGATCGAACTCATGACTGCCTGCTTGCAAGGCAGGCGCTTATGCTGCTGAGCTAAATCCCCAACCCCTTAGCATTATCTTCTACCAGCCATTCTGCATTCCACAGGCCTTCAGCAAGCACCTCAACAGGTCTTGGCTCTTTCTCTGGTGGGGTGACCTGTATCTTTATTCCTGAAGGCTCTGGATCATTTGACATTCTGCCTGAATTGGGTGGCTGCAGTTTCCCATCCACTTGATAGATCATGGTAGTACTAACAGGTGCCCTAAGGGGTTTCCTGAACTCCAAGAATATTCTTCCTTTTCTCCACTGTGGAATAATAGTCCAATTTTCCCTTTATAGTCTTAGCCAATCATCCCTGCCAAAACTATAACTCTCTTTTTAGGTTGCTTCCTCAGAGGCAAGAGGTGAGCAAAATGCTGAGGGGGAAGTCTTAACTTCCAGTTCAATGGTATCATTGTGTTTCTTCATACTAGCCTTCTCTCCTCTAGAACTAAACCTTCTAAGCTAGCAAGACATAAGATGTCAGAAACAGAAAGCAAAAATTTTGGTGGAACACTGGGGTAATGATAAGTGATAAATATGCACTTCCACCATTTGATTCCTGGATTCATGATTCCTAGCTAGAGGAGACACAGTACATACAGCCTTTTGAACAACCTTGCTTTAGTCCTGCATGCTACTAGTACCCAGCTGACACTGTAACTGTGTCTTCAAAAGAGAATTCCACCTTTCTATCAGTCAATTCTGGATGGTGAAGAACATGATAAGACCAGTCAATTCCAGGAACATAATCCCACTGTGTCATTTCTTTGAGGGTAAAATGTTGTTTCTGAGTCAGAGGCAAGGCTACGTGGAATACCATGATGGTGGACAAGGAATTATCAGTCTACAGATGGTAGTTTTGGCAGAATATTATGTGCAGGTAGGGCAAATCCATGTGCAGAGTAAGTGTCTATGCTGGTGAGGACAAAGCACAGTCCATCCACGATGGAAGTGGCACAATATAATCAACCTTCTACCAGGTCACAGGTTGATCATCCTGGGGAATGGTGCAATATTGGGAACTTAGTATTGGTTTCTGTTGCTAGCACACTGGACATTCCACAATGGCTGTAGCCAGATCAGCCTTGTGAGTCGGAGTCCATGTTGCTGAGCCCATGCACAACCAAACCCCTGCCACCATGACAAACTGCTCATGAGCCCACTGGGAAACGACAAAGGTCACTGAAAACAGATATTGACTCCTATCTATACAACAAATAATTCTATTCACTTGATTGTTAAAATCCACTTTTACTGAGGTCACTTTTGGTGCAACAATCTTTATAACCCTGGCGCATATAGACAGGTTAATCCACCAACCTTTTCCCCAAATATCTTTGTCACTAATTTTCCAGTCATGTTCCAAGTTCCTGAACATTCAGCCAGACCACTGGCTACAGCCCATGAATTGGCACAGTCTCACATCTAGCCAGTACTGTTGCCAGGCAAAATATGGTACCAGGTGCACTGTCTGAAGTTCTGCCCACTGTGAAGATTTCCCTTCATCATTGTCCTTCAAGGAAGTCCAGGAAAGGGGATGTAACGCTCCAGCTATCCATTTGCACATCATGCAGAACCATCTGTAAACCAGGCTGTGGCCTTCTCTTTCTCTGATAAATGATCATATGGTATACCCCCTTAGGCAATGGGTGCATCCTTGGAAACAGAATGGAATACAGCAGGAGTAGGAACCATACACATATGAGAAACTTCTTCATGTAACTTACTTGTACTCTCTAGGTTTACTCTGGCTTGATTCCACATGTACTATTCCCATTTAACTATAGACTACTGGTATCTATGTCCAACCTTATGACTCAGTGTATCAGATAATATCCAGCTCACGAAAAGCAACTCAGGTCACACGGTAAACTGGTGTTCCCTGGTCAGTGTTCAGTTTTCATTAATGCCCAGTAGCATGGCAGAGGCTGATTTTCAAAAGGAAAGCAGTTGTTTGCAGACGATGGCAGAGCCTTTGTCTTAGTTACCTTTCTTGTTGATGAGAAAAAATATCCAATATCTAAAGTTAAAGGAGGAAAGCTTTATTCTAGCTTACAGTTTACAGAAGTTTTACTCCATAGTCAGCTGACTCTAAAGCAGAGTGGTATAGCACATCATGTATTATTTTAAACAGTTCAGGCTAAGACCTATCAATATTGTCCATAATATCCAACAGAGACCCTGGTGTCTTTAGGTTTTAGCAAATAAAAGAGCGCCAACTCCAAGAACCACAGAAGCCATTAAAGAAGCTCATCTTTACAATTCTGTTTCTGTAAAGCCACTCCTGGTACAGAAATCTATATTAATCAGTGTTTACTAGAGAAACAGATTTAATGCAAGATATACAAGAATTTACAATATTGGCTTACAATGGCCACCCACAGTCAGATGTAGAATAACACAAAAGGACTGTCTGCCCACTAGAGGCCCAAAGGATACAGTCAAAGGTCTGCAGCTCATTGTATTGTCCTATGCAAGTCACTATCAGAAGGCTGAATAATCTAGGATGAAGTGTGTGTGCTGGAGGCTAAAGAGCATGCACTGGAAGTCAGAAGGTGATGCCCAAGGTGAAAGTGAAGACTGGAGCTCCTCTGAAGAAACAGAAGCCAGCATTCCTTCTGTTTCCGCTGTATACTATTCATAACAAACTGCTCTAGAGTAAGTCTTCTGCCTTTAGTAAATTCCATCAGCCACACTCAGAGCTATGCTGATCCAATTTAGTTGGACGTTTCTTACTCAAGTTGACATACTCAGTTAACTATCACAACTACAAACAGGTTTCATGAATAATCTTTCCAGCATGACAGAAGAATCTTAAAAGTAAACTGTGGTGATGGCTGCATGATCCTAAATCTACTATAAATCAGTGTGTTGTGCAATTATAACAAGTGAATTTTATTACATATAAACTATGCCTAATAAACCAGTTTCAAGAAAAGCAGCTTGCTTGTCATCATGGACCTTAATATTCTGTTGAATAATAAACAGAATAAAAAAGATGAGAGCATGTTTGTGTTTAGTGGTAAGAAAAATAAATCAAGGGGACATGTGGAAAGTGTGTTAAATTTTAACTTTGGGTCACCATGCAAGTTTTCACAGATCAGCCAGCAGTGAGTGACAAGTCCTTATGCTTCTTCAGGGTATAGCATTGTCATGGTAGCCATTAAAAGACAAAGAAATGAGTTGTGGGGAGAGCTGATCATGGAAAGGATGAAGGTTAATGAGGAAACTGCAACACAGGAGTTGGCTATTACTCTGGGCTGGAAAACTGCTAGGACACTCTGAAAAGAGGAGCAATACAGTCTGAAATTCCTTGTACCTGAATCTTGCTGCTCTTGAAAACAGTATGGGGGCAAAGGCAGAAGAAAGGAGGTAAGAAGCTGCTGAGATTATCCCAATGAACCAGGTCAATGTCAGGGCTTTGCTAATGCTAGCAGCAGAGATAAAAGGAAGAGCACAATTTATGGACTTACAGCATTCTCAAAGAGAGCCTATGAGATTTGGTGTCTAACAGGACATGGGGACCCAGTCACACATTGTGTGTGGTACTGACAATTGAACTCAGGGTTTCTGACATGGTAGGGAAGCATTCTGCCACTGAACTACATCTACAGCCTACATTTTATTTTTGGCAACAGTTACTAAGTTGCCATGATGGGCTGGAACACAGTAATTTTTAAAGAGAGACTTTTTACTGACACAGGTCCTGAAATTTCTAACCTAAGTCCTTTACTTAGAGAAGATAAAGAATGCCAAATGCTGCAAGCAAAAAACCAAAGATGCACAAACAACAGCATTATCCTGACAGCAGTGATGTACTTTTTAAATTAAATATTTCATGAAAGTCAGTGACTCAGAAAGGTAACAAAGACACAATGCAGAGGACTAAAGAACTAGAGGAAGAGACTGTCTATCCCAGAATTTTACCACATGCACGTACGACACATGTACTACACTAATATGTGACATAGTGAAACTAATCGTGCTAACTTAACGTGTAAATATTGTAATATTGATATCTTTCTGGAAATTTATTAGGCAAGGAAGTGGGTATAAGATTTGTTTTACAAATGTACATTTTTTACTGTTGTAGCTTGGCATAATTGATGCCATCTTATGCCTGTATTTGACCTAATAAGAGTAAAAACTTACACAGGGCACAAATTCCATGAGAAAAGCAGTCAAGCTGCACCCACAGGAAGGAAGTCAGCCTGCTCAACAAAAAAGCAGGATGCAGGTGTTAACCAAAATTAATGTAAGATTCTAGTTAAAATGTTCCAAATAGGATGCCTTGCTTTGTGGTGTTTTGCTTTAAAAGCTCTGTAATCCTCCAGTTTGGTGCCACTCGGTGTGACTCTGAAATAGGTCTATGCAGGTGGTCGCTGAATTCAGCTAATAAAATCCCAAAATTTGCCCATTTGGCTGCTTCGACTCCTATAATGTTCATGAACCTATCTAATTTGGGGGCTCATCCAGGATCCCTATTTAGGGATTTATAGGATACAAGTCTCTCTTTGAGATGATTATTCCTTAGGGGAATTACCAAGTTATAGTTCTTGCCCCCAAGAAACCTCTTTGTTTCAAAGAAGAACCAAAATCAAAGCCCTGGATGCTAATTTGGAGCAAGTTACCTGAATTCTTACCAGTAAGACTTGTCTCAGTTTGGTCAGGAACCCAGGAGTCCTGGGAGTCATTAGTCTCTGGAGTCATTAGAGTCTCTGGGACTCATTCCCAGACTAAGACATTGGCTAGGACTTGTGGACCACAGGGTTGAAATAGTTCCTGGTATCAATCTAAGGACTAAGTTCCTGTCTTTGTTTTGTTAGTCTTGCCACCTGCTTCTGCCTCTTTGTCACCCCTGCAATGTGTCCTTAACCATTTTCAAGAATTTCATCAGAGAGCCTCTTCCTATGGTGAACCAGTTTACTTGGGAAAACTCCAAACTTTTTGTTGTCGAATGGCCCATTTTCAGGTTCTCTTGGCTACTGGAAGGGTCCTCTCTGTGTCAACAGGTCCATCAGGTGATCTTTAGGACACCTGAGTACCCTGACCAAGTTACTTATATGCAAACTTGACTGATTTAGTTCTGAACCACCCAAGTGGGTCCCCTCCTGCCATGCCAAATGCTATGCCATTGTCACAGCTGCAAAATCTACCACTCCCAAACTTCGCCCTATACTTCCCTCTCCTCCCAACTCTCACCCCTGATCCCTCTGCGACCTTCCTTTCCATTTACCTCCTGAAGAACTCGATTTGCTTTCCCTACTTAGCTCCTCACACACCCATATCGGGTGCCCCTTTTCTAGGCTTTCTGCACTGGGAACCTCCTCTCTTGACTCCACTTCTGCCTCTCTGGCTCCTCTTTTACCCCTCCATGAGGCTGCCCATGGAGAAAGAACCCCCAGCCCCTTCCTAGTCTACATCCCTTTCTCCACCAGTGACCTCTATATTTGAAAATAACAAAACCTCTTGTTCCCTCAAAACCCCCAGGGACTAATTTCCCTCAAGTCTGTTTTCTTTATGCATCAATCCACTTGGGACAAATGGCAGCAGCTTCTCCAGACTCTCTTCATTTCTGAGAACACATCCACACCCTGGAATGAAACCTGGTCAGGGCACTAGACAGCCAGCCTAGCTCTGACCCGGCCATTTGGACCTCATATTTCCCTTCATACGCCCTACTTAGAATCTAAAAAAATGACCAAGGTAAGGAGGCTCTTGAATGGTACTGCCAGACTCTCCTGGGTGACTTAAAGGCGGCCGCTCAGAAGCCAACCAATCTAAGGTTTCAGAGGTAAGTCAAGGATCTGATGAGGCTCCATCCACATTCTTGCAGTGCCTCCTAGAGGTATATCATGTTTATACACCTATTGATCCAGAGGCACCCAAGAACAGATGTGCCCTAAATACATGTTTGCCTCCCAGTTGGCACCAGATATTAGAAAAAGCTTCAAAGATTAAAAGGATCCAAAGGTAAGGCATTCTCAGAGTTAGTGGAGATAGCCCAAAAGGTCTTCAACAACAGACAGGATCCATGGGACTTGAACAAAAGGATGGAAAAAGTCCTTTTTGCCCTAAGAGAAAAACAAAATCCCAAGACCAAACATGACTTGGGGAACCCTCCTACATCTAAAAGGGCTCCACTACTCAAAAATCAGAGTGTCTATTAAAAAGGGACCCACTGAAAAAAGGACTGTCTGGGGCTCCAGAAAAAGACCACCTCTACAGTGAAGGTCTTAATACAAGATTGAGCCAGTCAGGGTTCTTTTGGCCCCCCAAAGCCCCAGTTAACTCTTACTGTGGGGGGCCAAAAGGTCAACTTCCTGGTTGGCACAGGAGTGAGCTATCAGTCCTACAATCGTTAGTGGGCCCTGTCCCAGACCAAGAAAGACCTAGCTCTGGAATACACTAGAAAATAGACTTTACCAAAACGGGCCCAGGAAGGGGGGTGGCATAAATATATCTTAGTTCTCATAAATAAATTCACCGGGTAGACTGAAGAATTCGTCACTTGAACTGAATCAGCTCTGGTAGTAGCTACACAACTCTACAATAATGCATCAATTCAGTTTTCCCTTGTCCTTAGGGTCGGATAATGGCCTAGCTTTCATAGCTCAGTATTGGGAGCCAGTGAAGCTGGAAATTGATCACATGTGCAAAGCTGGAGCATGACCATTCCAAAAACAAAGAGTGCCTGGGGAAAGCCACCTGAATTTGCTTCGGCCCAGAGAATACCGACCCCCAAGACAATATGAACAGTGGGTTGCTAGGACAATAGGCTATCATGTGACATTAAGTTGATGAAAGGTATAATAAATACATGCAGCAATGAGGGGCCAGTACCTTTCCTCCCATCAGGAGAATAAGGACTTCGCCTGACCCCAGCTTTGTCTCTTCTTTATTTTTCTCATCCTCTCGTGGTCCTTCACCCCAAGAACCTCAGGAGTCTTATGGGGTCATGGCAGCTCAGATCACTCAAAATTTAGCTGCAGATTTAGAAATCAATTGAAAATTACAGTGTGCCTACCTGCTTCAAAGTTCACGTCAAGTAAAAAAATAAAGCCATAAAAACTTTATTTTCAAAACTGGCTCTTGAGACTGGCAAAAACTGGGTAAGTCACCTTCTTTTTGCCCTTCTGCATGTGTGATGCACCTCCTACCTCCAGGGTATTACTGCTTTTGAGGCCTTTGATCCTCCTTGATCCTCATGTTCAAGATGATAAGTTGGGCTGCTATCACTAATTGGGAACTTGTTAAGTCCTTACCGGTTTTCAGCCCCTCCTGCACTCGACCCATCACTTGTTACTCACCACTTGTTTGCGGGGCCACCAGACCATTCCAAAAAGCCCTGATAACCCTCTAGCAGCCCAACCTGGTGATCAAATCCACATCAGAAGGCTACAGCCCACATCCCTAGGTGCCTGCTGGGAAGGACCCTACAATGTCACCTTGAGTACTCCCACAGCCATCAAGGTGACCAAAAAAAGAGCCATTGGATTCATCACTCCCACCTGAAACCTGCAGGCCCAGAGGCTCCGGCTAAATAGACTATGAAAGTCTTCCGACCCTTTAAAGTCAAGCTCCAAACATGCGGGCCCTCAGTCTATTTATGTGTATAATCCTTATTCTACCCATTCTCACGAAAGACCATTGTCCTCTAACTTAAATGTAGGTTATGACTAGAACTTCAGATAGAGCAACCCTAGTTTCTACCAGAAGCCATGGGAATCCCCTCCTTAATAATACCCTTTCTTCAATTACAGACTGTACTACCTCAAATAACCCTAAATGCATTAGCCTTGCCTTGGCCACCTAGATTCCCCCTGTGAGGGCATTTAGATCATCAGGATCGGCTGGGTATTTCCCAACAGAAACAAATATCCCCTTTTATTTGTATCCAGCGACCTCTAAAATGGACAGATGCTCCACTAGTTCTAGGTTCAACCTGCGCCACTATTATTATTGTCACTAAACCGCTTGGGGTTGTAAAGCCGTAGGCCCCTGGTCTGTGACTCTTATCTGTCAGCTAGATATGACTCCCATAAAGGCTACATTTTGGCCTAAACAATCGAGAGATTCTTCTTGGAACAGAAGAAAAATATGGGGCATTCACCTCTATGTAACTGGGTGGGACCCTGGTTTGTTCTTTACCATCAAGAGAAAACTTGGAAACACTCCGATCCTCCCACAACCTATAGGCCCCTCAGTGGGCTTGCCTTGCCACCAAAATTGTTTCCATCTAGAGTGGTTACCCTCCAGCCCCGAATTTCCTTCTCTCTTCATCTGTGCCTGAATGATCTCTTCATGCCCCAGCACAATGGCAACCTGAAAGCTTTGTCTTTCGATCTCTAGAACTGAAGTTCAAATTACTTAATAGCTCAGCCCCAACATTACCCAAGACTTAGTTATGCTTAAATCCTGAAACCCCCTACTATGTGGGACTCACTGCAAATGCTACTGGTGGGACCAACAATCAAACTCAGATTGTAAACATCTCAAACCTTGATTCTGGTGCTTAATGCTGGTGAGGACAAGGACCTATGTCCTTCACTTTGGGAAATATTCTGGGCTCTAGATTTTGTATTTGGCCTGTAAATTTCCCTTTAAAGTGCTCCCCACTTTAAATCAATTATAATTCAACTGTGTACCCACTCAACCAACATTTAGTCTCTCAGCCAGGAATTTGGTTTGCCTGTACAAATGGTCTCATCCCTTGCGTTCATCTGGCTGTCTTCACTGGACCTAACCCTTAATTCATGTTCTTCCCCAAGTGTACTGGTATTCTGGAGAAGAGATTAAAAAAAATGAGGTTACCCAACATGACCAAAAACAAAAAACAAAAAATAAAAACAACAGCAACAACAACAACAAAAAAGAGCCACAGTTCTAATTCCCATCCTTTTGAGATTAGGTATAGCCATTTTCACAGCAGTAGGATCCACAGTCCTCATAGTGGGAAACCAAAATTACCACATACTAAACAAAGAAACATACCTTGATCTGGCCACACTTGAACAAAATGTTCATCACCTGGAGGAGTCTGTAAACTCCCTGGCTAAGTAGGTCCTCCAGAACCAACAAGGTCTTGATCTCCTGTTCCTAGAACAATGAGGTCTGTGCCTAGCCCTTGGTGAATCTTTTTTACACCAACCATTCAGGAATTATTAGGGACAGTCTTAGTCAGCTCAGAAAGCACCTAGCTGATAAAAAAAAAAAAAGTGAGAGACAACATCAACAATAAAAATTGTTCTCTACTACCCCATGGCTGATCATCTTACTTTTGGGTCTGACAGGATCCTTGGTTCTCCTCCAATTAGCCTTCACTATGGACCTCTGTATAATAAATTGTTTAACTCTCTATATCCAAGACCAAGTAGAATCTATTAAGCTAATGGTCCTATGTGCTGCATAGAAGGATTTACAAAATTCAGATGAAGAGGATGATCTTTAGATAAAAAAGATGACCAGGAAACAAGGATTTTATTCTTGTACTAAAACCAATGCATAATGTTGTAGCTTTGCAAAACTGATGCCATTGTATACCCTGTATTTGGCCTAAAAGAGTAAAAAATGACTCAGAGCACAAGTCCCATGAGAAAAGCAGTTAAGCTGCAACCACAAGAAGGAAGTCAGCCTGTTCAACAAAGACGCAGCATGCAGATGTCAACCAAAATTAATGTAAGATTCTATTTAACATGTTGCAGGATGTCTTGCTTGTGGTTTTTTGCTTTATAAACTCTATAATCAGTTTTTCAGTTCTGGCCACTAGGTCTGACTCTGAAACAGAGGTCTATGTGGGTGGTCATCAAACTCAGCTAATAGAATCCCAAAATTTGTCAATTTGGCTGCTTGGACTCCTATACTGATTACAAACCCACCTCAATACATGCGTATAATTTAGGTTTTGCAAAATCTGTGGAATAAAACATATAAAAAAAAGTCTAAAATATAAATAGGATCAAACAATTCTCAAGTTGCATCCAGGCAATGAAAACAAACAGTGCATGCTGAAAGGTCCCAAGTTCCATGCTGAAACTCTCCCTACACTCTGAAATTATATAATACACCTGATTCTCTCTTTCACATTGTATTTTTATTTTTAAACTATGAATGCATCTGAAACTTCTGTCTGCTGCATACTCGGGATTAAACCTGGCCTCATGCTTGCTATGCAAGCACTTTAGCACTGAGCTACACAAGAAACCTTTTCAAATTTTTATTTTGACACTGGGAGTCACTAAAGAGCCCATCATTCTCTCTAGGGGGGATTACGGGTGTGCACCAACTTGTTCAGCTAGCTGCAACTGTTATAAGCTCAGAAACCCAAAATGTGCTGTACTTATTACTCAGTGTGCCTTTATAACTTTTTCTCTTCCTGTAAAACTCGTGTAATTGCCATTTAATTCGTAATCCCTGGTTCCTGTAACTGCCTGTTCTGCCTCCCTGGTTCTTGTAAAACTAAACCAAAATACCTTTTGTTGTGAGCTTAAAACCCACAATGTGCTGTACTTATCATTCAATATGTCTTTTTGATTTACCTATTCCTGTTAAGCAATGACCTCATCCTGCAAACTTGTGTAAGTGCCAATTAAATTGCAATTCTGCAGTATACCCTTTATGTGCCTCCAGCTCCCCACTTCCCTGTTTCTTGTAATTGCTGGTTCTATTCCCTTGGCTCCTGTAAAACTAAACTGATTCCTGTAAAACTAAACTTAATCACCTTTTATGGTGCCAAATTGATCCTATGACCTGAACCCCTCCCCTTGCAGTTTACTGCTTTACATCCCCTTACAGCTGGGGAGCAGGTGTGCACTGCCCAGGTTGTCTTTGGGATTGGTGCCACCACTGAGCTCAGATAAATAAACATGCTTTTTTAACTTTTGGAGTTTGTCATTTTTCTGCCCATATTACTTTTATGGAGCCAAACTGACCCTAAAGCCCTGAACCCTCCCCTTGAAGCTTGCTCCTTTATAACTCCCTGCAGTTCCTTGCACAGGGAAGACTTCCCTGACTGCTCTCTGGGATGGTGTGACAACTAAGCTCAGCTAATAAAGCGTGTTATACTCTAACCAAAGTGCCGCCATCCTGTTCTGTCTGTGTCATTACCCTGCACTCTGTCTTAACCTTTGTACCCTATAAAATTCCCCTTTGTGAAAAAACAACTACTTCTTGGAACTAGCCAATTACAAGTTGTAAAATATCCCATAATGCTAAGAAACTTGTCTCTAAGTCAAATAAGGAAACAAAAGGCCTTCTTCACCCTCAGCCCCCCAACTCCTGCCTTTGCTTTTTGGATTTTCCGTTTATAAACCTCCCAAAGACCTAACCTAGTGGCATGACTCTGCAATTCCAATGTGACCGTGCCTCTGGGTCCCAGCTTAAATAAAGTGTCTTTTTCTTTTGGACATTGCCTTGGTTTTCAGTTACAGGATTTGGGGGCGCGTCCAGGATCATTTGAGGACTCCTGCTCAAATTATTTTTTTTCACTGATTGGCTGGAAATCTCTAAGTACAACATTTGGCATGCACACATTTGTAACAGCAGATGAGCCCACTGCTCTTTCTGCATTACAGCGGGACGCCCTCTGTTTGTAATTTGGGGCAACTTGCTTGTTTGACTTTATTCCTGGTTTCTTTGTGATTTGGGGGCACCTTGCCTGTTTGACTTCCTGGTTTCTGTTGCAGGTCTTATGTGGCCTTTTGGATTCAAGGGTCACAATGAAAATTTTTTTCCTTTAGGTCACCTAACTATGGATAGAAAAACCTTCATGTGTGTGTTTAGTGTTTATCTCACCTTTTGTCGTGCCTTGTTTTGTGTTTTTGTCCTTGACTGGTTACTAACAACCATGGGCCAAGTTCCATCCTCTGGATCTTTGTCTCCTTTTACCTTTGTCCTTAATCATTTTGGACACTTTAAGGATCAAGCCCGGGGATATGGATAACCAGTACATCTTGGAAGACTCCGTATCTTCTGTGAGCTTGAGTGG